TATATATATATATATATATATATCCATTTAACAATTAATGAGTGCAAAAAGTGCTCTTAGTATGATATGGCGTAATGGTGTAATGGTGACCTCAGTCCTAGTAGGTGCAAATGAATTATTTTAATTACCTTACTCCGTTCCCTTCAACCTGTTTCAACAGGAAATAACATAAATTAAGAAATTAAAATGCCCTCAGAGACATTAAATTATGTCTTTAAGGTAATTTCCTTCTGTAACCCACACAGTCACATCACAGCACGTCTGTTTCACCCCCTCCTTTAAAAAGAAAGGCTGATCCATTTGTCTTATTGACTGAAAATGGGCACAGAGACTGTCGGCAATTATAACTAAACAAACTTATGTTAATTTCTCAAATACCCCAACAGGCAATTAAACAGTGAGACAGCATTGTTAAGATTTATGAAGACTTATAATTAAGTTTGGCTGCATGAATGAATAATTACAGTAGGGGAAGGGAGGCATGTACAAATGGACTGTTTGAGACAACAATAGTTTTATGAGGTTGGATTGTAGGAGGTTGTTTTGTTCACGTTTAGCTCGGGTGTGCTCGGCATCCCCTCGACAGTCTTCTTGCTCTCTTAGGTTTCACTGTTTGGAGCATTTCTCCTCAGCAGCATATTAAAATGTCTAAAAAGTAAAAACACTGTATATTCTCAGGCAGTCTAATTAATCCAGGTAAACAACAGGGGAAACCTATAAAGTGTAATATCCTGAAGTAGCCAGATGTTTTCACCTCTGATGGCCCTGTGTGCAGTCAGTAGAAAACAGATTTCCTCTGAAAGTTATGTTTAATTCAAAAGATTAACAAAACACCACATTGGTTATTAATGATATTTGTCTTGTGCGGTGGCCTTGCTGTTTCATTTGTTTAATTTCCAGCTCATTTAGTTCATGTGCAGGTATTTTGTTCTGGTGATGGCAGGTTTAGAGTCCCAAAGCTGAATTTAGTGAGGTGTTCTTGTGGTGCAGCAAAAACTAAGAGTCTGGATGCTTCATTTCCT